AACAACTGTCAGGAATCTTCGTGAATCACTCCACCTGACATTTCCGACCGGACAGTGCGCAGGAGACTGCGGGAAGCAGATCTACACAACCGTTTTGCATGTAAGCGCCCATTGATCAGTAAAAAGAATAAAAAAAAGCGACTCGAATTTGCAATAAAGTATGCAAATCAACCCGTGGAGTTCTGAAAACGAGTTCTGTGGACGGATGAAAGTAAGTTCGAGCTTCTTGGACGCAAACAACGATTTCGTGCATGGCGGAAAACTAGCGAGAAGCTTGAAGATCGTCATCTCAAAGACAGTGAAACACGGCGGAGGTAACATCATGGTCTGGGGTTGTTTTTCTTGGGAAGGAGTGGGTCAATCGGTAAAAATCGATGGCATCATGACTGCTGATATTTATATCGATATTTTACGAGAGAATTTGGAAGTTTCGTTGATCCAATTAGGCTTGGAGAATAACTTTATTTTACAACAAGATAATGATCCCAAACATACAGCCAAAAAAACAAAGAAGTTTTTAACCTCCCACCAGATAAAACTGCTTGATTGACCTCCGCAGTCTCCAGACTTGAATCCCATCGAAAATTTATGGTCGATTTTGAACGGAAATGTGAACAAAACCGGAGTCACAAACAAAAATAATTATTTCGATGCGCTGCAACGAGCTTGGGAAAATCTCGACCCCAATCATCTGCATAATCTGGTCGAAAGTATGCCCAGACGGTTGGCGGCAGTCATTAAGGCCAAAGGAGGCCATACTAAATATTAAATTTTGATTTTCTTGAAAGATAGATTAAGATTTATAAAGTGGTCACTTTTTTTGTCATACATGAAAATGCTTGTTTTGTTATAATGAAATCATAAATATTTATTATCGCAAAAACTCGTTCAATTTTCGTTATAAATGTTTAGTGTGATAATAAATCTTTCAAACAAACCCAATAATAAGACGTTTTTCTATTACAAACATTAATTTTAAGAGATTGTTATATGCGATATAATATGGTCACTTTATTGTGCCGGTCACTGTATAATTCGGAAATATTACGCGCAGTTTTATAAAGTATAGCCAACATGTTTAACGATTCATTCAAATATAAAATTGCAGAGTTTCAATTTTCGGAAAAAGTGTCTATATCTTTAATTTAAGCAAAATGTTACATGTGAATCCTGCGAATATTCTTAATATGGTAATTGTTCCATTTCAAATTTCAAATATTCCACAAACATAAATAAATGGTAAAGAAATCAAATTAGATGATACTATAAAGGATATTATAGAGAATTCTGTGACGGTAGACCCGTCACTAGCCACGGAGGCATGTAAATAGTGTAAATACAAGTATATACGTTAAACACATGACCGCTTACTTTACCCCGCTTACCTATCCCGCTATCTCACTCGCCGCACGCGCTATCTCTGTCGCGGATCCCCCACGCGATACCGACTCCCACCGCCGGGCCGACGGCGCACAGTGGGGGACGCCGGCCGGGTATACAAGGCCGGCCGGCCGAGACATCGAGATCAGATCTCATCCTGCAATCCGACTCCTGACACCGACCTGACCACCTATTACCTTTTAGGGCTAAGGTTTCACTTATCTCTGTCGGGTTGCCCCGGCTCTCTCTACCTCTTGGGGCTAAGGTTTCATTTAGCTCTGTCGGGTTGCACCGGCTCTCTCTACCCTCGGGGCTGAGGTTTCACTCCGCTCTACCGGGTTTCACCGGCTCCTGTCATCCCTCCTGGGGCTAAGGTTTCACTTAGCTCTGTCGGATTGCACCGGTTTCCGTTGCCCGGACAACGCACGACGTGACACTCGGGCCTGCCGGCAATACCCCGCCATCCGCCTGACCCTAGCTCATAAGTGCATGTACATAGCGCGTCGTAAATGTTAGCCACACCGTAGTGATAAGCCTGGTAATCGTAAGCCTGTTAGTCATAAGCCCACTAGTTACACCTGCGCCATAGTAATAAGTCCGCTAGTAATAAGCTTGTTAGCAATAAGTCCGTGCGCTATCACCGCACCGCAATAATAAGCCTGTTAGTAATAAGCCTGCTAGTGGTAACCGCGCCGTCGTGCTAAGCCCGCGTTTAAATAAAACCGTCGCAGACATTAAGCCGTGCCCGCTTTGCGCTTCTCGCTGCATGCCGCTTCGCGTCGACCGCTCTGCGCCCCGCGCCTTGACACCAGCCCACCGCCTGCCGCACGCTGATCGACATCGCCTGGCCCTGCACGCTATTCTGTATATACCTATCACTATCTAAATAAACGATCTTTTCTACCTAAACCAGTGTTCGCGTAAGTTTGAGTCTCCCCTCCTCTCGAATCCGGACACCGACGAGCCGATCCGAGCGTCGAGCGAGGTGACCACGTTACAATTCAATGGATGATATATCATTTGCAATTCGGACCGATACTACGTTAGAATTTGAGAATTATTGGAACTCAAATTTATCTGAAGCACGATCTGTCGCAGCTGATAAAATAGAAGAACTTGAAGAAAATGATGAAGATGAGGCAGAAGATAGTTGTACATTGAAAGAAGGCGAAATTATAAATAATGGCTATAAAAAAAAAAGCTATTGAATTCTGGAAAAGTGGAAAAAAAGGTCGTTACACTTTATTAACAGTATAACATCGCTTTAGAAAGATAAAGTCTTTGCCGCAGTTGTATCGATGGGAACTCTCTCTACAAAAAGGTGGTATTCATAGAGAAAAACTGTTACAAATTTCTGAACATGTCTAGAAAAAATTCGAAGACGCTAACGATCAAAACAGAATTATTCATGATTTAGATTTGCGACGATGGGAGCTAGAAGAAAAGAAAATATTAATTTTCCTCATTTTAAAGTGGGAGCAACGTGGATATTAAATTTTAAACGAAAGTACGGCATAGTGTCAAGAAAAATTAAAAATTTATAAATCGTTTATCAAAGACAAATCAAGAACAGTTACAAATTGCATGCCAAGAATTTATAAATTCTGTGAAATCATTTATAGGTTTCTTTGAAATACAAAATATATATAATATAGACGAAAGTGAGTTCAATTTAAAAATACATTCAGGCAGAATGTTGACAATACAAGGTATTAAAACAGTCGAAATTATAGTTCAATCACAATCAGCAATTACACATAGCTATACTATTATGCCTACAATTTCTGCAGGCGGGCAACTGCAAACACTTTTTTATTTGGTATTGAAAGAGATCAGTGGAAGTTTTGGACCACGCTTAGAAGAGACTTTGTTTAGGCCTGCAAATTTTTTATCGCAGCATCGAAATCAGGAAAATTAACTACATAACACTTGCAATCTTACAAATGTATTTTTATCCGCAACTGAAATCTTCAGCGTGTTATTATTAAATTCTTGGAGTGGATACTGTCTCGCGAGACAAAGAGTCCTACAAGAGTTTATGCTATCTAAAGATAAAGAGGTACGGATTTTAACAATTAAACCACCAAAAAAACTATAGAAATGATTCAACCGCTTGACGTTTATGGGTTTAGAACAGTGCTGGGATTTACTTGCACATTTCGGCCCGATTCCGTGGCTCACGCCTATTGCCCAACACTCACCGCTCGTGCGTTAGCAATGAGTCGCCAAATACGCGTAACTAAGGAGCGCTTTGTCTCAGGAGTGTCCGTATGTAAGAATGCCCAAATATATTTCATTGATATAAAATATTGAAGAAAAACTTTTAATTTTGAGAATTTTCGCGGTGCATTTAGAAAAGTATTGTCTTATTATTATATTTGGGCATTCTTACATACGGATGCTCTTGAGACGAAGCATCGCGCTCCTTAGTTACGCGTATCTGGCGACTCGTTGCTAACGTATGAGTCTTTAACATTCACTTAAACTCTTTCATTCCGCTTGATTTCAGCTGGCAAGGCATTATACATTTTTACTCCTTCGTAAAACATACTCTTTTGCGCACTCCTTGTTCTGCGGAATGGGAGGCAATAGGCGTGAGCCACGGAATCGGGCCGAAATGTGCAAGTAAATCCCAGAACTGATTTAAAATATGAATGTGTGTGTGTGTGTGTGTGTGTGTGTGTGCGTGGGTGTGCGTGGGTGTGCGTGCGTGTGCGTGCATGCATGCGGACGTGCGGGCGTGCTAGCGTGCAGGCGTGCGGGCGTGCGGGCGTGCCGGTGTGTGTGTGTGTGTGTGGCACTCCTTGTTCTGCGATATTTTATTGCAATGTCTCCAGCTTGTCGTGTTTGTCTTTCACTCTTATTTTCCACTATTTCTAATCTATTTCTTAATTGCTCCGGTAACATGTTCCTTAAAATCTTAAAAATAAATATACACACAATATAGTATAGCCTCTGTTTTATGGACATAAACTGCAGCGCTTGCAGCATACGCTCCACTTTGGTATGTCTATCACATTGCAATATGATCCTCATGGTCCGGTTTTGTGCTTTTTGCAATTCACTCAACTGTGTTTCTCCCATATCAGTAAACAGCGTCACACAATACTCAAAGTGAGGCGCTATTATTGTCTTATCTACAATACATCTAGAGTATGCCGATATATAATTACCTATTTTATTCAAAAAACTCATTTCTTTAACGTATCATCTGCAAACATTTTTATACTACTTCTGGACAGATTTTGATTATATCATTTATATACTGGGTGTAACTAAACAAACGCATATGGACAATACTATCAGATACAGAACAACAATTTAAATCGAAAAGTCCTGAACCATTTTTTGATCTGAGCTTTCTTTTCGTTGTTATATGATGTTAAAGTTAACTAATCAGCGCCTGTCTACAACGGAAAACAGAGAAGGTTTGACGGGAGTCGGAGTAGCGAGACGGCTTTCTGGTGTATAAACAGGCGCTGATTAGCTAACTTTAACATCACATAACAATGAAAAGAAAGCTCAAATTAAAAAATGGTTCAGGACTTTTTGATTTGAATTGTTGTTCTGTATCTGATAGTGTTGTCCATATGCGTTTGTTTAGTTACACCCTGTATACTATAGGTTGGGGAAAAAGAAATCCATTATTTTTACGTGAACTTCAAGACTTTATTTAACATGTTTTGCATTGTCCGATTTAGGTCAAATATGCACCATTTTGTTCTATAATTTGTTGCCATTTTAATGGTAGCTTCATTATGCCTCTCTCATAAAAGTCTTGGTCCTTATTAGCGAAAAACTCCAGCAATTGATTTTCACACTCTTCCCTTGATGCCAATTTCTTATCACTAAAAAAGTTTTGCAATGCAAGAAAAAGATGGTAATCGCTTGGTGCGAGGTCCGGACTGTATGGTGGATGCATCAAAACTTCCCAACCAAGCTCCTGGAGTTTCTGACGAGTCACTATAGAAGTGTGTGGCCTGGCGTTGTCCTGATGGAACACGACACCTCTTCTGTTGGCCAATTCTGGCCGTTTCTGGTCAATTGCTCGCTTCAGACGGTCCAGTTGTTGACAATAGATGTCTGAATTTAATGTTTGGCCATATGGAAGCAACTCGTAATAAATGATTCCTTTCCAATCCCACCAAACGCAAAGCAGAACCTTCCTGGCCGTTAGTCCCGGTTTGGCCACCGTCTGAGCTGCTTCACCGCGCTTTGACCACGATCGCTTTCGCATAATGTTGTCGTATGTGACCCATTTCTCATCCCCAGTCACCATCCGTTTAAGAAATGGGTCGATTTCATTACGTTTGGCCAAGGCTTCGCAGATGGAAATTCGATCCATCATGTTTTTTGGTGTTAATTGGTGTGGCACCCAAACATCAAGCTTTTTTTTAAACCCAGCTTTGTGCAAATGGTTTAAAACTGTTCTGTGGTCGATCTTTAACTCCTGGGCGATGCTACGACTACTAACATGCCGGTCCACTTCGATGATTTCAGTGACTTTGTCGACATTTTCGACGACGGGCCTGCCTGTGCGAGGGGCATCCTTAACGTCAAAAATACCCGAACGGAATCGACGAAACCAAAATTGCGCGTAATTAGCTGTTACAGTATCGGGACCATAAACACTATTCACATTTTCAGCCGCCTGACTTGCATTTTCGCCCTTATCAAAGAAAAACTGTAAAATGTACCGAATTTTCTCTTTGTTGACTTCCATCTTTAACGCCGTGTAACTCAGAACTGAATGGACAAAACAAAAAACTGCAAACGAATTCTTTTAGTGCGAACTGTTACCTTGACAACGAGCATAAATTTGAAATTGTTTGATCGATAATTTACGAGATATCGATCACTACAGCCATCTACCGAAAAAATAATGGATTTCTTTTTCCCCAACCTAAATAACAAAGGTTCTAATACAGATCCTTGTGGTACTCCATATTCTGTGGCCATTAATTTAGACCATTTATTATTAAATTGAACCTGCTGTATTATATTCTTTAAATATGATATTAACCATTCTAAAATCACTCCTCTAATTCCGTATTGATATAATTTTTCTAATAATCTTTCTCTATCTATTGTTTCAAAGGCTCGCTTAGGATCCATGAAAATTACCCCTATCATTTTTGCCTCATTAACTATCAATTTCCATTTATCAATGACTGTTTAAATCGCTGTTTCACACGAATACTGTTTTCTAAAAATTTTTTCTAGGTGCTGTGGCGTTCAACGCATTTACTATACTATCAACAAATTTCTTCGCTCTCGCACTGACATCCATATCTTGGTTTTTCTCTAATTTATTTTCTACTAACTTAATAAATTCATCTATATTAAACTCTCTATAATTCCTAACACTAAGTTCTCTGTATTTATTATCAATTTTATTCGCATTCAGTTCAACTTTTAGCCACGCACGATCCGTTATTTTAGGTTCATGCATTACCTGCACTTCTATTTTATTATTAGCAAAAATTAAATCTTATAATATTTATATTAAAGTCTCTTATTACCATACATACTCTTCGTATTATTAACTCTTCTATTATATCCTCCAGAAATCTTACAAAATCACCATGCGATGAACTCGGTAAGTGATATATTACCATTATTATTCGTATATACAATTTTTTTTTACCTCAATCGCAGCACACCAACAATTCGATTCTAATTTTTTTACTAATACTATTTCATATTTAACATCATCCCTTATATATAAAACAACCCCTCCTGTATTTCTATTTTCAGCATCACATCTAATTATACTATAACCTGGTACGTTCATTTCACTGTCTTTAATTTCAGCAATCAATCTTGTCTCTGATAACGCTATGAATGCCGGATTTATTTTCTTCATAATCTGATGCTGTATCTCATCTCTATGCGCCATCAAATTTTGCGCGTTTGTATACAATATTATTTCCGCTTCCTTCTGTAGTTGCTATTTCCCAGCCGGCTCTCCTCTTCTCCTCCTGTATCGCCTTTTTAAATGTTGGATATTCCGGGCTAAGGGCGTCGTGTTCATCACTTATCTTCAGGTTGTATGTTCGAATTTTAAACATACAATTTACACATTTTTTCTTTGTTGCCGTACATTCAATCGCTTTATGATTTCCCGCATATTTGTGGCATGTTTCATCTCGCGTACAATTTTTTGCAATATGATAGTATCTCCAGCATTTAAAGCATCTTTTAACATTAATAGGACATTTTCTCCATCCTACATTTAGTTTCTCTTTTTTCAACATCAATTCATGCGTTTCTTCATCTACTTCAATTATTATCGAACCTTCTTCTTTTTCTCTTCTTCTAAGTTGATTATTATCATTTCTTTTTTCTTTAACTATTTTCTTCACTATTCGCATTTGGAATCCATCATTTATTGCATCAATTCTATTCTGCTTCTTGATTGTAGTTATTAAGTCATCATCATCCAATCTCATTTCATCTTCACTGACATTGATAATTTTTATTTTGGGCTTCATCTGCGGTGATTCCATAACTTTGAAATTTTCTCCTAGTTTGTCCTGCACTGTGGCTTTCAACGTTTTAATTTCTTTTCCAGTTTTACAACCCATGATCACTGTCTCCTTGCTTCCTTTTTTTAGCTTCGTTATTCCCATCGCCATGTTTTTGATATCTACCTTTTCTTTTATCAATTTTTTTGTAACTTCACTCTCTTGTTGAATCTTGGGTTTGATAATTATAACATTCTCTTTCTTTTTCTCTTTAACCGCTTCACTATAGCTCCTTTGTATTCCTCCTGTTGATCCACATACTTCTCCCTGTATCATTCTTTTCAACTCTTCTAGCAGTTCCTGCTTAACATTTCCCAATTCTTCTCGAACTATTTCCTTGACCATCATTTTAATTTCCTTCTTACATGCTGTTTCATCTTTTATTTCTTTTACAATTTTTATCAGCCAATCTATTTTTACGTCAATAGTCGATGATCCACTCGCTCCTGATATTCTTTTTACAGGTTCGTTTATCACGTCACTACTTGGCGTGGTAAACGATTCTGTAGATCCTGTAGATCCTAGCCTGTCCCTGCCGCCCCCGGCCACTGCCGATGCCTTCTTCATATCTGCTTCACTTTCAATTGTAAATCTGTTAAATGGGCCAGAACACGGTACCAATTCTTGATTTTTATCATCAATCCTATGCTTGCTTACACATCCTGGATGGTAAAACAGCTTAATACGATTCACTTGATAGCAAGACATGCATGTCACCACCTGATTTTTTATTGTCTTTTTACATGCCGAGCATCGATATTCGGCATATTAATCGTCCATGTCGATAATTATTAGCCGAAACCGCTAATATCAGTGTAAGCGATCATTCACCTGTGTTCCACTGTCACACGTCAGCACTTTTGTGTCCACCTTTAATGTCTACCTGTCGTGTGAGACTTTGGTGTCCCAGACAGGAAATGCACTTCTCACGCCCACAAATCAGCATATCCCGGCTAGATAACACTCATGGCTAATACCGGTCTATGCCGCTATGACTTGAATAACTTTCTATCACTCCCCGTAACTATTTAACCGTTTAAAAGTTATTACTTTTGCGGAGCTATGTTTGACACGTCTTCTCCACCGCAGAGAGAGAGAGGGGGGCGAGAGGGAGGGAGGGAGAGGGAGGGCGGGAGAGAAAGGGTGAGAAGGGTGGAAGAGGGAGAGGGTGGAAGAGGGAGGCAGGGGGTGAAGAGACAGGAGAGATTGGGCAGGAGAAGGAGGGAGGGAAAGGGCGGGAGTGGTGAGGGGAGAAGGGAGGTTGGGAAGGTTGGGGAGGGAAGGAAAGATGGAAGGAGGGGTGGGGCGGGGCGTGGAAGTGGGGAGGGAAGGGGTGGATGGAGAGGGCGAGGGAGGGAGAAAGGGAGGGGGAGAGATAGAGAGCGCATTTAGTGATCGCGTTATATTGTTAAATTATGATATCAATTTACATTTGAGAAATAATATCATCAAATTACAATCCTTAACACATATACAATTCCTCTCCACGATTCCATAATCTTTTCAAATATGCCTAGTTTAAAAGTAGTTACCTCGAAGAACGGCCATCACATTTTGAAAACCCGGTGGATTTTTGTTTCTCTGGAAAAGATATGATAGAAATTCCACGCTGGTTCATATGTAGTGTACCTGCTATAATACGTTGCTCTTGGTGCAAGAAATATTTTTGTATGCATCATTTCCTTAAAGAATATCATGACTGTAAATACCATAAAATATAATAATTGTTCATAAGTAAAAGACTTTTATATAGAAAATTATTATGTTTATTATTAATGTTTGTAATAAATATTCTTATATTGTACCTTATAGGGACCGTTGTCAAAACATGATGTGGTAACTCTTATGAAGAATATCAGTAACTATGAAATTAATACACGTTATTAGCCACATATTCACTTGTAACTACTTTTATTTCATTACGATAACTATCCACAATCTTTGATGATGCAATATTTCATAAGTTAAGGAATAGAAAAACATGTTCAATCAAGCAAAATAATCACTTTTATTACGAATACAAGAACTTAACCAAATAAATGATAAAATAAAATAAGTATTTTATTTAAATAAAATTGGTACAAGATAATAGAGATGTTCTTATGATGAAATTTTATGCATAAGTATGGGTGTAAATAAATAAATTCTTCTCGTAATAATGTTATTGGATGCTGTCATTTTTCATATACAAGGTGACCAGTAATGACCGCCCACTAAGTACATAGCGTTATTCCTTACCAAAAACTGAGACGAAAAATCCTGAACCATTTTTTTATAACGCTTAATAAAGGAGTTATTATTGAGTCAAGTCAGGCCAATCAGCGCCGATCTTTAGCTGGGCGCAATGAGCCGCGCTCCTGATAGTGTGCGTGAGCGCTCCGCTGCTAGCATAGAATATTCTTATGCATCGTAATAATAGAAATAATTTTTTCTTGCAGTATTTTTACAGGGTGGACAAAATAAAGCGTGACGACTTTTTATCTCCAAAAATATTGTTTCTAGAGAAATATGTTCCAAATAAAAGTTGCAGTATTTCAAGGGGAACATAAGTCAATGTTATAGGAATGTTTGTAGGTGACGATTTTCAAGGTTATTTCATGGTCAACTTCATTTTTTTAATAGTAACTCTGATTTTTTATCGCATATTCTTATAGCCCTTTTTGAGACCTTTTTAAAACACTATAACGAAGTACTTTTTCATTAAGTATTTTTTGAGTTATTTTATATTTTATATGAATATGATTTTTAGTACAATAAAAATTTATTTCTATTATTACGATGCGTAAAAATATTGCATGCTAGCGACACGCGCGAAGGAAAAATGTCGTCGCACCGCTATAGCGGCGGAGCGCACACGCACACTACCAAGCGCGCAGATCACCGACGCTCGGCTAAATGTCGGCCCTGATTGGCCAGACTTTACTCGATAATAACTTTTTTATTAAGTGTTATAAAAAAAAATGGCTCAGGATTTTTCGTCTCAGTTTTTGGTAAGGAATAACGCTATGTACTTAATGGGCGGTCATTACTGGCTACCCTGTATATCTTATGTCTTTATTATCGAGCTGTAAATTACAAGAGTTATTTTCTATTTAACGAAACTTCGCGAATCCGAAAATTTTTATTTTGATGAAACTTTATACACGTAGAGAGAGTAAATAAATAAATTTTGAAATTATCAGTTGCCGTCCAAAAGCAATTTTGAAGAGTGAACTCACCCCTTATGTGTCTAACGGCTTTTTGCCTTTCTCAATATATTTTGAAAACTATTCAAGATATTAAAAAATGTTTTATACAAAAGTTTCATGGTAAAAACAACTCTATTTAACTATATTAATAAAGATTTGAGAAAAGCATTTTTTTAAAAGAATTTTTCAGAAATCTTTCAAAAAAATGATTAACTAATAAATAATTTTTTCAAATTTTTATTAATATGGTTAAATATAGCCGCTTTTACCATAAACATTTTTTGATATCTCGAATAGTTTTGGAGATATACCGAGAAAAACAAAAAGCCGCTTTACATATGAGGGGTGCCTTATAACCGTTTCTGAGCAGCAACAAAAAATTTCTAAATTCATCTATTGACCCTATTGACCTTTATATGTCTGTAAAGATTCATCAAAATCAGAATTTTCGGGTTCGCGAGGTTCCCTTGTTTAAGATTTATTAAATTCACATTTCTCAATCCAAAATCATCGTTTTTCTTTTACATTTTGTAATAGTAATAGTAATAATAGTAATAATGAAATATATACAGGGTGTTCCGGAACAACCTTCCGTCCGTGAAGTGACGTATTCCTACATAATATTGTTCTTTCGTTTGACTAGCAGGAATAAAAATTGTAAGTGATTTTTGCATTTGATTGTAATATTAGTTTATATATAATAGTAATGATGTAAAATATTGACAGATAATAACTGACTATGCATTGCGATACAAACAAATTTTACCAACATGACGTTTGATTTCATCTGTGAAAACACAATGACTTCACTTAAAATTCAAAGTCATTGGACCACATGAGGAGCACATTTGCGACCGCTGATAGAGGTGATGGATGCCATATATACGTTGTATTGATCAAACCATGAGGTATGATTGATCTTGCGCCGGGCGCCTTATTGTTAATTTTTTGAGTAGCTGAGGAGACACAAGTAGAATGTCGAAACGTCCCACAATTTTTATGTTGAAAAATTAAAATTAAAACTAAATTGTTCATCCATATATTGCTCGTAAAGGCCTTATTTATTTATATTTTTTGTTTAATTTAATAGTAATAATAATACATTTAAATGATATACTATATTACTTTCGTATCATAATAGCTATATACCCAGTGACCATCATATTTCGACATATTGTTATGCAAGATTTGTATATGATTTTGCATAACTAAAATAGGCTCTATTTTTTCGTAATATTGAATTCTCCATGTATCACGAGAACAGAAAAAAGAGCAATTTTTTAGTAACATTTGAAATGCATTTATATGGGTATCTTCCAATTATGCATTTTGCTATATATTTATGTTGTAATTTGATAATTTTATTATATTTTTTATTGTCATTTTTGCTTTTGTTATCTCTTATTCTTTTTCAATTTGATTTGATTAATTTGATTATATAATTATTTTCTTTAACTATTTTTAAATAAACTTTTTTAAAATGATTAACAACAACAACAACAACAATAACAATAATAATAATAATAACATGTAAATAATAATATGTAAATAAAGCACTTACATAAATTTTTTAGTTTTGAATATATTTTATGAAACATTTTGCATTTTATATATACAGGGTGTCCCCAATTTAAATGGCAAAACTTCAAGAGCTTGTAGGGAACCGAAAAGCTAAGACAGAAAGTCCTTTAGAGGTTTGCTCGTTTTTGCTCCATTTTCAATAGTCGTTGTCAAAGACAAAACGGAGAAAAAGATGCACGCGCAGGGTGGGAACGGGGTGTTAGGAGTTCCGCGCGTACCGTGACGAGATCCGAGAGATAATCGCGAAAATCGAACTTGGTCGCCAGATACGATCTTTCACGTATCAATTCGCGAATCGCACGAAATAAGCGCGGAATAGGCGCGAAAGAATTTGTCGGAATTCGCCACGGGCTGATTAGCTCGCCTAACGGTAGAGGGGCAGGGCGAGTGTTGTTCTAACGCGATAAGTTGCAAGAGACGACAATTACGGAAACGACAAACACAACTGAAAAGAAACTCGTAAATTAAAAAAAGAGAATAACAGGTTTATTATAATAGCGGAAGCTGAAGCTCCCTGCAGTGATGCCAGAATTGAGACGCGAGCAACACGACTCCGTAATGGAGGGGATATACACACAAGCGTGAACCGTGTACATGTAATGTGCAGAGCGCTCTGCGCATTACATGTACACGATTCACGGTTGTGTGTGTATCCCCTCCATTACGGAGTCGTGTTGCTCGCGTCTCAATTCTGGCATCAGTGACTCCCTGGAGAGTAGCAATGATAAACCGCGCGCATATTCGGCTGCGGTAAAAGAGAAAAACGCGGGCGAGACTGGGTGTTAGACGCGGGGCGCAAAAACCCCGGAATGCGTACGCCGAGACCGGCCCGTTACATCGGCCGGAATGTTCGCTCGGCTTGAATTACGCCTCGCACTGCGAACAGGTCGATTATTGCGTTCTTCTGTAATTCGGGCGCGAACCCGATCCAATTCTCGATATCACCCCGTCAACGGCGACCT